CATTTCATTCTTTTTCTTATTGCAGATTTTCTTATGTTTCTTAATGGGATTGAAAGACAAAGCTACTTTTCACATCAAAACCAATGCCATTTGTTGATAGGATTTAAAATTTGTTGATGTAAATGTCCTGTAGACCTCTTGGGGGAAATCGGAACTGGGGACATGGAATATTGATAAGCACAAGTCTTGTTTTTCTTCTGTTACCTTTAAAAAATATTAAACTTGGTTATCTAAAAATGGATTTACATTTGTATCATTTGGCCCTTATTATCCATGTTTGTATATTGGTATAAAGAAATGAATTTCTAATTCATGGTTGTCATCCCCATTGGCCTAATGGCCTAATAGATAACACGTTGGCCTCCTAAGCAGTATGATAATATAAGCAGAAGCATGAATAATACATATAGAACAATTTTGCCTGTTTTTAACTAAAGAAAATTGTAAATACTTGAATTTTAGAGATAAAAATAAGTTTTAGTCCATCTCTTTATGTTCTCTGTACGATTTTAAAGCTACGTTGTAGAATCTCAAAATAGATCATTTTAATGAAAGAGTTGTTGAAAATTCGGCAAAATACTATACAGATTTGAAACGTGCTGCTTTTGGAGCATGTTTTTAAAACTTAGATAACATAATCTTTGTTAAATGTTTGGAAACATTAGTGAAGAAGCCAGAGTCCTGTTTGTAACTTGGTTTCCTTCTTGCCAACTCCTGTGAATTACTAGACTACTGAATGCACACAAAAGTAAACATTCTTAAAAGTAAAGGATTTTAACAAGAAAACAAAAATTTCAGGTGATAATAGAAGATATTTGTTTTCAGCAAAGATATATGTATATATTGCTACAAATATTGCTGGAAGGAAATGAATGGAAGCTAACAGTGGTTAGTATTTTAATGTCAAGATCTGTAAATAATTTCAGTTCTAAATGATTTAATACCATATATTCAAAAATTAATACTCAGAATGCACCTAAATGTATTGATTTCTTCACCTTTTGGTTATCAAAGAATTTATTTTCTTAGAAATCTAACTAGTGTGAGTGCATTGCCTGAGCCCACGGGTTCGAGACCCGCCTGGGCAACTTGGCGAGACCTCATCTCTACAATAAATCAAAAAATTAGCCGGGCATGGTAG